ACCCATACGTTTCTGCAAATTAGGGAGAGAGAGTTCCTCCCCCCCTTGGTATGCATAAAAATATATTTCTGTAAATGTAAACACAAAATTGGCATGAGTCATCCCTGAGCATGCTCTGAGAGTTGCAAAATGTTGAATGTAGTTAAGCATTTTTTTTTAAGGACAACAGAGGAGCAAGGGGTACTTGGCCTTCTCAAGTTTCTACATACTTAAGAGTGTGAGGAGATGAGGGATAAGACATATTTTAAATAAATACATTTACATAAATATTAGAGGGATGTGGACATGAATGTGTATAGGTAGATATTGATTGCTAAGTTTAATTCAACATCAAAAAACAGTGTGCTGAGGACCAATTGTGATTGTTGCCCCCCGCCCCCCCGCCACACAGTTCCACATCAATTAAAGGAGGAGGAAAACCGGGGGAGGGGGGAGGTGTCTGTTCAAGCCCCTAAGACATTATAGTATAGAGGGGAGGAAATCAGTCTTTCTGGGCTCCCAACTTGTGAAATATACTAATGTGAACATTAGTAATTTTGCAGTGCCAGAGGATTGCTTCTGAGGCTGTAGGTGATTGTAATCTGAGGCTGCTAGTGTAATCAAAGGAGAACGTCCTCCCCAGGTGCCAGCACAACCATTCCACTTGTCTAGCTGCTGGTCTTAGTTTCACCCAACTTCAGGTAATTCGGGAATAATTTGGTTGTGCTCAACCCTTCTCCTTGTTTTGACAAGAACGGCCACTTATAAGGTCTTTGGTCCTCTTTGTGCCATCCTACTGACCCTGCAGAAATAATTCAAGAAATCCAGTGCTATATTCAACGCCAGTGACTAGTCCTCCTTTAAGCTAGATGGGCTTTTGCCATGGTGGAGGCAGCTGGATTATGTCACACGAGCAACCTGTTTCTCTGGGAGCCAGTTTGGATTGCCAGTTGCACCAGTTTGGGACAGGCAGGTGCACAGCCCCGAGGAATAAAAAGTTGTCCTGAGTGATTTGCCCTGCCTGCTCGCTTGGAGGCTTGTTCTAGTTACCCCAGGTAGTTCACAAGACTGACATAAAAGTAGTCCAGTCAACTAGCTAAATCGATCCTGCACGTTCAGCTGGTCTCTGTGCTGCATCTGTGTCAATTGAAGTAGTTGGCAATAAATACATCATGTCCTTTTGATGTTGTTGTTGTTGCCAGCTGGTTATTTTAAAACCCAAATCCAACCTTGCACATCCAGCCCAGCCCTCTGGGGCTGACACTGTGCTAGGAAGTATCAGGCGTAACAATACTCTGATGAGCAGTCTCCTGTGGCATTTTAAAACTGAAGTGAAACCTGTTTCTTCGAAACCTGTCAGAAAGTTTGAGGTGACACTCCTACTGTGCATTCCCATTAGCAACATCTTGCATAAAACTATTGTCTCTGTGTGTGGGTCCTTAGGAACATTTCATGCCTCCCTGGAAAGGTAACCAGCATTAGAGGAGAAAAATTTCTGCTGGTTGCCCCCCTTACCTCTTTCTTTAGAAGAAATAGAACCATATATTTTGTAGCCAGCCTTTTCTTAGTTTATATACGCTAGAGGAGCAAAAAGAGACATATCATTTCATATATGTGTAAAGCAGAGGCTCCCAAACTGGTTTGTGTCGAGACTCCCCAAATTAGGAATGAATTTACTGCTCCAGCCTAGTCAAGGGTAACTAAAGGCTGGTCCACACATGCAGGAGAACACGGTGATAGAACATGCTGCACCACGGTAGACTGCAGGGGGAGTGTCAGATTTTATAGTGCATCCCTGTGTTAAAGGCTCCCTGTAGATAGAAAACCAGCAAAGCAGACAAAAAGGAGGAGTAGACCCTGTTCTTCCCGCTTTGCTAGTTTTCTGTTTTCAGGGAGGACGCAAAGCTTGGATCTAACAGCTGCCACCCTAAAGTGGTGCAGTCTGTTCGGCCACCTCAGGGCTCTGCTGTCAGTCTCTTGCAAGTATGAACCAGGTCTTAGATCTGCATAATACAGCACACTTATGGGGACAGCTCTTACCAACAAGGCAAACCCCTAGGACAGCATAATGCAGTGCTGCCCTCCTATACTCCCCACCATGCTAGACGTATTACAGAAATCTAGTTTCTCAAGCTTTGTCTAGCATGGTGGCTCCCCAAAGTAGTGTGTGCATCTGCTGTGATGCAAAGGATTCTGAGACTTAGTATGTGTGATAATATCATTGCCCTCCTTCTTCAAAAATTGGGGGGGGGGGCACACGACAGCAGGGAGGAAACCTTCAGCTTGCCCTTTCTTATAGATGCGTGGATCCCTGTTTTGTGCAGTTAGATGAATGCCAGCTGCTGGTGAATTTCATGTCGTTTCAGAAAACAAAATGGATTCCTGTGCCTGCTTCTCTCTTTGATGTTATGAGCCGCCTCTTGGTGGTCTCTGAAGAGGCAGCAAATAAATGTTTTAAATAAATATTTAAGCCTGGGTTCTTGCCCCAGCCACATGTAAAATGGAGAGGAGGGATACAGTGTGGGGTCTTTGTGTCTTTGTATTTGTATTCTGAGGGAGGGGAGAGAGCTGAAGCAGGAACAGCAGTGTGGTATAAAATCACTGTTGTAAATAAGTAATCCATGGCTAAAATGGACCCAAGATCTCACTAGGTATAAGACATGTTCACATATCCAGCATTTCTGTCCATAAAATGGTCAATTTGAAGCAAAGGAAACAAGACCAGAAGACTGTGTGGCTAGACGTTACAGTATGTACAGCAGGATGGAGGGACTAGGAAGTCAAAGAAAAGGGCCTCAGAGAATGGCTCTCAGTGTTGTCAGTCAAGTCAGTGAGGGAAGGGGTGTATGCTGGTTGAAGCTTGAGAGAGGTGGGGATACACCACCCCTGGCTGCTCATTCATACCACCTCTGGTATGGAACCCTCCCAACCCGTTTAGGGGTCCCACCTCTCTCTTTGGGAACCATGGCCCCATGTCTCCTAATGAAGTCCATAAATAGATGGAATACTTAAAAAAAACCCACTAAGATTACAAGGAAGTGAATTCTTCCCTAGAGCAGGGGAGGAGAGGCAATTACCTGCATGAAGTTGTTAATGGTAAGAAACATTAGCAGTTGTTGAGCCTTCAGTGGTGCAACTTGATTGTTGAGACTTGTTCCTTGGGGGATGACTAACATTGGGGGGGGGGGATTCTACATGTAGGGTAAAAGGCATTTTCTCTGAACCAAACAGTGAAACAGGTTTGACTGACTAGAAGCACCATGACATGACAGGCCTAAAAGAGAAGATTTGCTTGTTAGGAAGAGCCAGGCAGTAGGAAACGCCCTTTTAACAAAGTTAATCATATCATATGTGGTCTGTTAAAACAACACATTGAAAGAACCAATGTTAAATTGGACTCCTTAATTTTCTAATTTACAACCCAGCTAAACAAAAGGGATCTCTGAATCCTAATGCATTGCACTTCTATTAGAACAAATACACTGGTGAAGAAAAAACTTGCATCATTTTTTTTTTAACAGTGAGAGATGTTGCAAGCAGCAGGTGGCTTTGCTTATTTCATCTGTGACAAACATTTACTAGCTTCTGTCAGCCAAAATCTTTCCAGCTTAAGGCTTGGGGAATGTAGCCATTTACAAAGCATTTGGCTTGAGACACAGAATCTGCCTGAACCCCCCAGTCCTTCTCCTTCCAGCTAAGCTGCTTCCCACCCAGCCACCCCCACTGCCTCCTGAAAGCAAGGAAAATCTTTACAATGCTCTGCAGCCTCGTTTGAGGCTATTTGGGCCTTCATGTTGATGGGGATGCAAAAAAAATGAATCCTGGAGGAAGTCTGAAGCTACACCAGATGTGATATCCTAGCTGTGAGAGATTTCCTCCATGCGATCCCCAGCTTGGAGTAGAATTACATGGTTCCTGTTATGTGTCACCCCATAGCTCCAGTGACACACATGACTGGCTGTTCCCAGTTCCCAGAATGATGCATGAACATAATTCATACACACAGGTAACATGTAGGTGAGTCAGCCTGCCACTCTGACACAGTGTCCCAGCAATACTTTGGTCTTAACCGTACACTTTTTTTACACAACAGCATTCCAAGCACTAATTACTGGCCAAATTGGGTTGTGGGGCAAATATTTACACATGTACAGTTAGCCAAAGTTAGTCCCCATTGATTTTTTTTGTTTGTTTGTTTAAATTTTTGACTTATGCTAATCTTCTCATTTTAATAGCTGTCTTCGCTTTCTTTCTTCGCTGGTATTGCTTGTTGCCTGCAACTGCTTTTGATTCTGCCTGACCAAATGAAAATTGTTCTTGATTTCCCCCCCCTCCCCTTTCCCCCCTCTTTCCTTTTTTGAGATCAAACGAATCGAGATGCTCTCCTTTAGTGTGCAGTTGTGCTACAAATGAAAAAGCTATTTGAAACTGACTGAGCCGTCAAAAGTTTTTATCAGAGAAGGCAGGGAATTACAGGAGAGTGTTTGGGGAGGGACGAAGGACAGGGTGCAGACAATTTGGTGCGTTAGAGGATTCCATTTTTTTCACCAGCATCTCGTGGACTGGGAATAGATTGCCATTTACCTGCTGCCAGTGGTCAGTTGCCCATTTTAAACCCCAGCCTCCTGGATTGGAAAGAATAGGGAGTGGGAGAAAAAACGGCTGTCACGATTGTGAACCATGACAGTTGAGCTTACTTAAGGGTTGGTTTAAATTTGTAGTGTAGGCGTGCTTTTCTGAGCACTCCTCCCTTTTGGGAGGCGGGACACAATTTTACTTCCTTCCTCTCAGTCACTGCTTATCCCCTGAAGGTGTGGATTTGCCTCTTATTCGATCACAATCCCCCCCCTCCCCATTTTTGATTCAACACGGTTGCAGGTGATTTGCAGACCGCACATCCTGTCTAGTACTGTCTTTCTAATGTGTCGTGTTGCCTAATTTAGATTTCTCTTTCTCTCTTCCCCCCCCCCTTTTCTACTCCCCTGCCGCCTCTGGTTACTTCTCCTTCCCACCCTGCACAGGCCCTGCCACCTGGTGCTCTTCAACCTTTACCAAAGAGGCCAGCACTTGAAAAAAACAACGGTGCCACCACAGTCTTTAACCCAAGTGTTTTCCACTACCAACAGGCCCTCGCGAACATGCAGTTGCAACAGCCTACATTCATCCCTACAGGTATGTTGTCTCCGACTCTTGCTGAACCCAGGAGAATGTTGTGTGAGGAGGTGCTTACTGATGCAAAACCCTTTGCACTTCACCCTTGCTCTGCCATGCCTGGGATTATACAACTGTGCAGTGTGGCTTCTGCTGGTTTGCCAGGCAGGTTGCTTTTCAGATGAAGCTGTGTTGGCACAACTCCCTCCCTTCCCCTGCTGCAGCAGCGTAGCCTTTGACGTGCATATCCTTATCAGCCTTGCAGGGCGACAGGTGCGCCAGTTGGGAGATTTCCCCCCTAGGGGTTTCTGAGGCTGAGGAGAAGGAGGTGGTGATGGTGTTATCACAAAGGGATGAAGTAAGGAATTCATCTCTCCTCCAATTCCTTGCAAAGTGTCCCCGGTGGCTGATGATCAAGGGCAGCTCTTGGTCACCGGTGGCACAGTGTGATGGTGAAGTGTTTTGACTCCCTTCGGAAGGCTCATCTTTGAGAACATTTATTTATTTATTTATTTTATATTTCCTTCCATTTATATCCCACCCTCCCCACAAAGCAGGCTCAGGACGAATGCCAACCTATGATAATCTGCTGAGTGCAGATTTACAGCATAAAAACAAAATGCACACAGTAAATATAATAAAATAACTGCAATACTAGATACTTTAAAATAAATGATACCTCAACAGACACATAAGAGTGACTCACTGGGGGGAGGAGGGGGGAGGCCAGGTTGAGTTGGATACCCACTGCCTCAACTGAAGAGCTGGCAGAAGAGCTCCATCTTGCAGGCCCTGTGGAACTGTAAAAGCTCCTGCAGGGCCCTAATTTCTGACAGGAACTCATTCCACCTGGCCCTAGTTGAGGCAAGTCGGATATCCCTGGGGCCAGGGACCATCAGCAGATGCAGATTCATAGAGTGCAATGCCCTCCGGGGCTCATATGGGGAGAGACGGTCTCGAAGATATGCAGACCCCTGGCCATGTAAGGCTTTAAAGGTAAGAACCAGCACCTTGAGATGGATCCAGTATTTAGTAGTCAGCCAGTGCAGTTCACGCAGCACTGGGCGGATGTGAGCCCACACAGGCAGTGACATCAGTGCTCATGCTGCTACGTTCTGCACCAGCTGCAATTTCTGGAGCAGAGTCAAGGGCAGCCCCACTTAGAGAGAATTACAATAGTCTAGCCTGGGGTTGACCATTGCATGGATCACCATAGCCAGGTCTTATTGCACCCACAATGTTTAAAGAATGAAACGTGAGTTTTAGAACCGTGTTTTATTTATCTCAATGGGACTTGGACTGCAGAGGCCCCTACTGTCTCCAGCCCTGCCCTGTTCTGGCTTCGGAGCAGTTAGCTGCTTGCTCAGGGTGACTAGATTCCTGTTAACTGAAAAACCAGTCTCTACAACCGACATGTGAGGCATCATCTGAAACCTCAGCTGCGGTCAAGCTTTCACGAAACTCTTTCCAAGATTTAGTGAAACAGTATGGAACATTCAGTAGCTTCAGAGCGAGTCATTGTTGATATGTTGCTGTTTTTGTTTCATTTCTATTCTCTGTCCCTTCCCTGGTTAAAAGCCAAAGTGTTTGGGATTCCTCTGTTTCCTTTTGAATAGCTGTTAAAGAATCAAATGTGAAAAAGTCTCTGTGTTGTTCTCTGATTCTTTCCTCATCTTCCTCCCTTTGTGGTTCCACTAAATTAATCATGAGCCAATTCCTGGATTCTTTGGTAGTTGGTAGAGCAGACCTATAGATTTGTCTGTTGGTTGTTTGGCAGAGTTAGATGTGTTCAAGATTACTGAAAACAAACGACTGCAACAAAACCTAGCAAACAAGTCTGCAGAAGTCACTCATGTTCATATACAAAAAATGTTCACTAAACTGTTTTCAAAAATGTACCTACACATATCAGTTATTTGTGTTACATTAAATGCCCAAAAAGGAGGGAGGGGCAAGGATCACTGCTACCAAAGTACAGTTTTCCTGCTTGGATACTTAGAGGTGATTTTTCTTTGCCACAGGCAATTAGAGGAATGCCTGTTTACAAGACTGACTTCAGCATAGTTAACTCAGTTCTGAATAGCAGCCCTGTTGTTTTTGCAGTTTGAAACAGCAAACACACATCAGACATCTTAAGCAGGGCTGTGTTTTAAAGGAATAAAAATCTTGTGCTTTGGACAGCCGTGTCCATTCCATTATTCTCTTTCCTGAAGGCTTTCTTTGATCAGGTCCAGATGGGGGGATGGGAGAGAGGAACCATGTAATCCTTTCCTTCTCTACACAAAATTTCATAAGTGCTCTGCTGGATCAGACCGAAGGCCCATCTGGTATAGCATTCTGTTTCCCACAGTGGGCAATCAGATGCCCTGGAAAGACCCCAAACAAAAGCCAATAGAGACCAAAGCTTCTACTCTGGTGCCCCTAGAAGTAGACATCCTCAGAACATGAAGATTCAATTTACCCATCATGGCTTATAACCATTAATAAACCTTGCCATTATTAATTTGTCTGATCACCTTTTAAATCCATCTGAGATGCCACCCATCACTAAATCCCGTGGCAGTGAGTTCCATAAGTTAATGACACCTGGTGAAAAGAAGTACTTCCTTTTGTCTGTCCTGAGTCTTCTGCTCATTGACATCATTGGGTGCCCCCAAGTGTTCTCTGTGGTCACCCCAACCTGGTGGGGTGGTCTCTGAGAGTGTAAAAAGGCCTTATCCCTCCTAGCCTTTAGGATGACCTGCAAATCAGTTCTGCTGGAGAAACAATTTGGTTGATGCTATAGTGGCATTTGTAGTTTTGTTAGCAGGCTGTTTCTTTCTGTGAACCCCCCTCCTTTGGTGGACTGGAGTTTTGTTTAATTATTTGCAGTGCAGTGCAGACCTGTTTTTAGGACGTTTACAACCTGCCCTGAGGTACTGGAAGGGCAGGGTAGAAACATTTAAAATAAATAAATAGTATTTGAATGAGGGAGGAAAAACTTCACTCTGTCCACTTCCTCTGTGCCATGCAGATTGCTACCCACCCCCCCACCCCCCGGGCACTTTGTTTTTCTCATTTATAAGGCAAAGAGAAACGTCCTGGTATATTTTTCTATATGAAAAAAACCAGCAGGGGAGGGGAAGCTACTTTGGCTGACAAAAGGATTGGGTGGGAATTTTTTTAAAAACCTGGTCCTTTGCTGAACCCAAAGCTACCTGCAGCTGCTTTTGCTTTTCGAAGAAAGCCCCTCCCAAGGTGGCAGAATATGAAGACCATAATTCTGTGTAGAGAGAAGCAAGACTTCCGCCTAGGTACAATTCTTGAAAGAATGTGTTCCTTTTCCCATCCCCTGCATTGTGATCTTGTACCATCAAAATCCCTTCTTCTGCACAAAGCATTAAAGATAGGCCCAGATCCCTTCTTGCCCTTTACACTGCTAACCCTAAATCCCTTGTCTCCATACCCTGAAGTCCCCAATGTATAAAATGGGAATTGCAACTGCTTTGGCAGAGGTTCTCCAAGGACTCTCAATGAGCAAAGGAGGGCGGGGTTTTTAATAATTGTGTACAACCAAGGGGTTGAGAGAGTGTGACTTTCCTCTTCCTTGTGTGGAAAGCTTCCCATGAATGTATATGAAGCTGCCTTGCATTGAGTCAAACCATTGGTCCTTCTCGATCAGGACCATCTGCTGTGACTGGCAGCAGCTCTCCAGGGTCTCAGGAGGAGAGAGGTCTTTACCTGCTACCTGAGATTGTTTAATCTGGAAAGGCCAGGGATTGAACCTTTGTCCTTGTGCATATAGAACATGGGCTGTGCAGCTAAGCTGTGGTCCCATCCCCAAATCCCCTCCTTTACCTGGCTACTAAAGGTATAGGATCTCTGCTATTCTGGGGCAGCTGGCCATGTGAGAATAACTGAGGAGAGCAGAAAAGGCTATAACTAAATCCCTGACTAAACATTTTAGGCCTGAGCCGTGCAGTCAGGAGAATGAAGAGGGAGCCTGCAGGTGGAAGATGACATTTGGAATGCTTCCCTGGGTCAACAGCCTCCTTCCTCACACCAAATGGAAAACCATCATAGCAAGTCTAGCAAGAGAGTCAAACCTGTCTGCCGGCTGTGCTGGTTTTCTGTTTGTGTGGAATTGTTTATGCAAAGGAACATTCAGGTCATTAAATCCATCCCCAGCAGTGCAGTCCATTCTGCCACTTCAGTCCTCCTCCACCTCATTGCCTGCATGCGTAAACCATTCCTGAGATCCTTTTCCCACTCAAACTGTGTTCCATGCCACTGGCCCATAGCCATGCCCAGTTGCACAGGAGGGAAACTGATCCTTGTTTGAATGCCATTTGCTATGTTATCCAATGACCTCCCTCCCAGTTTTTGTTCTAAGGGGCAGAAGTGCACATTACGACATAGAGTTGCTGCCCCAAATGGGATCCCTGTGTCATATACTCCCCCTACTTCCTGAATCCCACAGCATCGAAACACAGAAGTCCATCTTGTGACATGATGGTGCCATTGCATTTCCTTTCCATCTCTGGCAGCAGTCATTTATATAGAACAAAGGCAAGGAAATGTATAAGATCCTGTCACTGCACGAGTAAGCAAGCTTCAGTGTTACTGAGGGATAATTTAACCTGAGCTGCCACTGTTGGTGACACCCTTTTGTCGAGTGCAGTGCACTTTTAGTCCAAGTAATAATATAACTTTGGAAGCCAGCTTGCAGATCAAAAGTGTGGTCTAGGGGCGTGCAGGGGGAAAAAAATTTTTTTTGGATTCGGGTATAATTCGGTGGCTCAATTGGTTAAGACGCTGAACTGCAGGCTGTGGAAGGTCAGTAGTTCAGCAGTTCAAGACCCGGGTGCCGCAAGACAGGATGAGCTCCTGTCTCTAGTTCCAGCTCCTGCCAACCTAGCAGTTCGAAAGCAAGAAATTGCAAGTAGATAAATAGGGACCACTTCGGTGGGAAGGTAACAGCGTTCTGTGCGCCTTGGTGTTTAGTCATGCCGGCCACATGACCACGGAAACGTCTTCGGACAGCGCTGGCTCTTCGGCTTTGAAACGGAGATGAGCACCGCAACCCTAGAGTCGGATTCGACTGGCTTTCGAGCAAGGGAACCTTTACCTTTTTATAATAAAGCCAGTTTTTTCTGGGATTCCCAAATATACCTGAATACCAATATTGGTATTCTATCGGTACCCAAAAAATTTTGGGATTCCCGAAATTTTTTTGCTCCATTGTATCCTATGGAGCCATTGTAGTCAATGGCAAAAATCTTCTAACAAGTATTCACGGGGCTGGGGAGGAGGTGGTTTGAGGTAGAGGCACCAAATTTGTACTGTAGCTGCTGGAGCCTCTCCCCAAAAGACCCCCCAAGTTTGGAAAAGATTGGACCAGGAGGTCCAATTCTAGGGGCATCCAAAGAGGGTGCCCACAATCGTCCATTGTTTCCTATGGGGATGAGAAAAAGGCAGGCAGCAGTATTTCCCAAAAAAAGCAAAAAAAAAAACCACCAAAGATTTTTTGGGGTTTTCGGCATTCAATATTTGGCAGCCGAATCAGCTCAGGGGATATGATTCAGTATGCCACATACCCGAAAAATGCCAAAAAATAATAATCAGTTTTTCCCCCGGTTCGGCTTTACCAAATGCACATCCCTAGTGTGATCTGGTCAGCGGTGCACACAGACAGATCTGTCCGCAAAGACAGAGCGAGGGCAGCAGTAGCAGCAACAAAGGCTTCATCCTGCAGCTGGACTTTGATGCCAAAAATGCCCATGTGCATATGGCCTGTTCCTGCACATTACATTGGATGAGAAAGCCCCTGCTTTGTGTGTTGCTTCTTAACATCAAAGCACTGCAGAGTTTTGGACCATGGCATGAATTTGTTTTGCAATAGCTACACAAAAATGCATGTAACATTAAGCGGGGCCAAGTTTGTAAAGTGTGTGTGTGTTCAAAACTCATCCAAAACTCTGCTACCAAGAATCCAAGAATTATTCTGATCTGGTATGATTTTCAAAACTACAATACAAATTTGACAATGCTGAATTTGGGTTTTTAGTTTTGGGGGGTCATGGTCTTTGGCTACAGGTGCTGCTGCAGTAACGACCAAAAATAACCTCCTTTTCTTTGAATTGAAAGAGTTCTCTCTTAACACGTTTAACTGCTTCACTAATGAAATGTCCCTTCTGTTCATCTTTCCACGCTTCACTGCATGGTGTGCAGGGTCTGTGCTGTGCATGACTCCCACAGCAAGCGTTGGTAGGTTTCTCTACACAAACTTCAACTTTTCCTAACTTGAATGAGGCAGTGTTTTCCTCTGTGTTGCTGGTGGAGGTGGTGTGTGTGTGGGGGGGGGAACAGGGTGTGCAGTGTGGTGTGGTGTGATGTGCTGTGGCTAAAAATCCACTGTGTCCTAAAGGCTGAGATGGTTGTGTCCCTTTTTCATGTCTGTGGTGGTGTGCTGGATTTGATGACTAATAAGTAGAGCCTGACAGGCCGAAAGTACACACTGTACATCAGGAATACTTTCGGTGGTGTCGGAAAACCTCCCTCTTTTGACTTTTTTTTTTTTGACAATGCCACAAGAACATTCACCTGTTCATTTACATTACCCTCTTGTGCTGTCTCCCTTGATTGGCTTTGTTTGCCCTCAGTGATGTCGCTATGTAGCCATGACTACGTAGTGTCCAGGTTTTCATCCTGTTCACTAGGCGATCCCTGATTGGCTGGGATCATCTCTGTGGCTGGTCCAGGAAGCACTGTTCTTTCAGAATTGCCTCGGTTTGCCTTCAGTAGCATCACTACATAGCCAAATCTGATTGGCTGTGTTAGGATGCCATCCCATTCACTCTTGTGAGTAGTCCAGGAAGAAGAAAGAAGCAGCAGCAGCTAAGGAAGCTGATAGCAGTAAACAGGATTGAAAAAACATGGACATTCACTCAGTTAGGGGGTCTTCCACCTCAAAAGTATTTTTAATTCAAAAAATCAAAGTAGGAGAATATTAAATACAGTCTTACTAAAAAGCCATCATGGAAGGGATGAACTCCCAGAATGCATGCTGGTTCTGTGACAAAAAGAAGCTGTGGTTGTCTTTTGGGTCATATGACTGTCACTATGTCCTAGGGCAGGAGCAGGAGCCATTCTTGGCTTACATGGATGGAAATTTAAGAATTCCTTTTCATCAATATGAGGGGGGGAAAGGGGCTGGCTAGAGCTTATCCACATTACAAATGAGACCGCTTTGGAACTCATGATAAAGTGTCGTCACCTGTATCCCTCCCACTGTCACCACAACTAGAGAAACTTGGCATTGATGACAGTGCTGAATTGTAAATGTTAAAAATTCCTTGTCTCCTTCTTTGGAGACTGCGAAATCTGCTAACCAGATGGATGGAAATTTAAGAATTCCTTTTCATTAATATGAGGGGGGAAAGAGGCTGGGGGGGGGTTGACAGGTAGGCTTATAGAAAAAATTGAGAGTTTGATCATGGCTGTCCTCCTCCAAGAAGCAGAGTGGGTTTTAGTTGTGTGATGGGGCTAGAGCTTATCCACATTACAAATGAGACCGCTTTGGAACACATGATAAAGTGTCGTCACCTGTATCCCTCCCACTGTCACCACAACTAGAGAAACTTGGCATTGATGACAGTGCTGAATTGTAAATGTTAAAAATTCCTAGTCTCCTTCTTTGGAGACTGCGAAATCTGCTAACCAGATTTGAAACTGGTTTATCCATGCCATATAAACATGCTGAGTGCAGCCTCCCACGCTGTCAGCTAAGCCCAGGAAGTATCCTGTGATGCTAACTGCACAAAGCCATTGCAGCACAAAACCACCCTAAATGTCTGGACTGTTGAGCATAAAAGCAACACTCCTGTCCCTGTTTTGGGGGGAGGGGGTGACAACTGCCATAACAATAGCTGTGTCTATCAGATTACGTCTCATAGCAGCCAGTGGCCCCCGCAGTCCGCACCCTAATGGGCAATGGCTAGAATCTCTCTCTATCAGACCAAATACCGAAGGTGCAAATGACTTTCCCATGTCCCTGTGGTCAGCTACCATTTTACCAGTACTACTTCAGGGATGCAGGTATAGTTGCCGAAGTTAACCACACTTTGGGACCTAGTGCTCATGACTTGGTGAATCTGTGTCGGGCTCTATAATTTCCGATTCTAGACCTATCTGAGTATCGCATCTTTATGCTGCCTTTCCTCTCAGGAGTTCAAGGCAGTGCCCATAATTCTCCCCTCTTGCATGTTATCTTCACAACAACCTTGTAAGATGTGCTAAGCTAAGAGACAGCACAAGTGACCCAGGGTCACTCAGGGAAGTCCATGACTGAACCTCAGTCCCCCACTCCCCTACCCCAGTCTTCAGCTGACTCAAACTATCACACCACACTGGCTAGATGGGGGTTCAGATGGTCAAATGATTCTCCATACAGATGTATACCCAGCACGCGTGCACACACACACACACACACTTAGAAAATGAGAGGTTGGGGAGAGGAGGACTCTAGCTAGTCTTCTCCATGACCTGCTAGTTTTCTAAATGCAAAGAGGAGGGTAATGTCAGAGGAGCGCCCAGGCCTTTGAGACACTCCCCACCCCCACCTGCTGTCCAGACACAAAATTACCAGCTCAGTGAGGGTTGAGAGTTTCTTGATGTAGTTGGCTTCTGTACTGGACAGTTTGATTTCATTTTTAAATATGACTGTCTATCAGGATAAGGCAATGGCAAATCACTGCTTAATCACTTGCCTTGAAAACCCCATGGGGCTGCCATAAGTCAGCTGCCACTTGACGGCACTTTACATGCACAGGCGTCTATCAGGATGGGGCACATCGAAATTGACATCTATAGCTTCAGCCACTCTTGCGTCCAAAAGCCAGTCTGAGCAGGGCCTCCCCTGTTCTTTAATGGCGAACAAGTACATCAGAGACCAGAGCTTTGGGCCTCTTGCTTTTCCACTTGCAGTTTTGAGCTCGTAAGTCCTGCAGGGGGGTTATCAGGCTCCTTTGCTGCCTGCCTTCCTTCCCTCCCTCATCTGGTGGTCAAATTAGCCACCATCTCTTGCTTAATGCCCCTTTTTCAAGCGGCCACATTGTGTAAAAACCTAGCTACCCTTTCAAACCGTTTAAAGGAGTCTTTAAAACATGCTGCCTCTCCTTCCTCTCCCCCCTTTCCTCTCAAGTGCTGTTTCTGTTTTTCTGGATGTGGAAAATGTTGTTGGAAACTTACTTTATTTTCCCTGCTCTGCCCTTGGGAGGAACTTGGCCATGCCCTGTTTAAAAGATCAGACAAATAAACAGTGAATTTGCTCTCGCGAACGGCCCTGTCACAGAACTGAGCAGGTCCATGTGGCTACAGCCTCGTCCAGTTGTAATGCAGCTCGAAAGAACACAATAGGAAGCCATCATGCCCTGTGGGATTGTAACCAAAACATGTGCCTGGGTGGAAGCATCTTGTCCAAATACATGCTCAGAAGTGCACCCATGTTCTTTTAATTCATAAATAGTGGGGGGCAAGCTTTCAAAGTAGGGTGGGACTAGGGTGCGGCAGCCACATGTGCTCCACAAGAGCAACCTGCATTGTTGGCATGGCCCATCTCAGGTGGTAATTTAGCCAGCTGTGGCCAATAGTAGCACCAATCTTGGGATGTTTTGCTCCTTCCCCACCTACCTTTGGAAATTTGGCCCCTGGAGTCTTCTACATCATTGTTCTGCTTATAAATGTTACTAAGTGTTGAGAATGTTTTAAGTTTTTTTCCTTAATTATAATTGTAATTGGCTTTTTTCCCCTTTTTTCTCTTTTATTTTTCCCTTCCCGATGCTGTTTTGCTTTGCACTGTGATTGCATGCCATGCCCCGGTGTATCCTTCCATGACGTCACATGGCTTGTTGCTGTGATTCCTGCCACGCCCCCACCACATGTTGCCATGGTTACATAAACGCTCCACCCTCCTGTTATGTCGCTTCCATGGCTCCCTACTGAAAAGTTCCCATGATGCACGGTGCTACGCCCACCACTGTGTCTGCAGCAACAACACCTGCCACCAGCGTTCCTTTCGCTGCAACTGCTACAGCCAATCAGGTTTGGCCCTTTCAATAGCTTTATTTCGCAATGTTCAGATGTGCAAGGGCTGTACAGGACCATATCCCACATGGGGCTGAGCATCTGTTTCCCCACAGGGCATGTAGGAGTTAGAAGAAATATTGCTTTTGCCACGATGGTACACCTCAAAAACACCTCCCCGTGTAAAATGAGCACTCTCTTGGCTGTACCTGTAAAATTATTTACCGGTTGGTTCACAGCCATCACTGTCATTGCCCCATGCCATGAATCTCCATGCCCTCTTTCCCTGTTTCTGACAGCAACTCTCTTCTCCATGTATTACAGCCAGACGGGGATCTTTCATTACACAGTGGCTGTTTTTGGTGGCAGCCTTATGGCAAAAGTAACGTGTTCCAGCCTTGAATATTTCTGTTCTCTTCTGCCTTGTCATCCTTAACTGTACAATACCACCAACCAGTCACTGTTGCCCCATGAGGGATGGGATCCTTTGGAAAGGCAATGTGTATATGTTTAGGACTGGTGATGGGACAGTGGCCTTTTGGGGTGTTGTTGTTTTTTTTTTTTTAATGGTTCCAAAGATAGGAGATGGGTGAGTCCCCAGACCTCTTGAAGGTTAAGTCTGGCAGAGAGAAGCCTTTGAACAATGGCATATTCCCTGTCAGATCATCCTAGCCACGATCAATGTTCCCTCTAAGCTGTGGAGTCTTGTGAGCAAAAATTCTACTTTGTGAGCTACTGGTAGTAAAGTTGTGAGCGAGCGATTTGGCTACTGTATAAATTAGTTTGCTCTGGAGCCATCCCTACCTGAGCTAAGATAAAAATGTGTGAGCTGGAGCCTAAAAAGCTGTGAGCTAGCTCACACTAACTCAGCTTAGAGGGAACACTGGCCACGGTTAGAAATGGCATCCGAGTACTGTGATTCATTTGTGTTGCTTCTGCTTTTCATTTCCCAACAGAAATATCGCATCAAATGTTCTTCCTTGTGGTATTTCAGTCCCTCTACCCTAGACAGAAAGCAGAAACGAAAGGATCTGTTTAAAAAAAGCAAAAATGGTTGAATTTTAGTGATTAAAGGTTGTGGCTTATCGAAGAAGCCGTTCATCCATCCAAACCATTAATATGGTATTGGTGGCAGTTTTCTGTTTTGCCCGACTAATATGGACGGTATAACTGGGATTGTTGCTCTGTCTGAGACGTGAACGGAGACAGACCCTTCCTCCAAATAAAGGGTACTGCTTCCACACCAGTCCTGAACTTCCTGCATCAACTTTCTCCCCCCAGGAATGTGATTGGTTTGCTCTAAGTGGACCAGGGAAGACCTCAGTGCAAATGAAGTATTTTTCTATACATGATGATAACCACAATGCCAACTATATATTTAGCACATGAAAAAAATGGCAGATTCTGAATTGCTTTAGAGAAAGAAGCAAGCTTTCCTTTTATTTGCAGGGTGCTAATAGCCATATGGAGCCTGTAACTGCAAACTGAGAGGTGTGGTGGGGTTAAGTTTAGCCAAGACTGGTTTTGGGTTTTTTAATTATGTATTTTACTAGGCCAGTATACCACTTTACAGCTTGTAAGAACAGTTTCCACGGGTGGTGTATCAGTGCGAAGATTCTTTATGTATGCGTGTGTTTTGCCCCCTCACTGTAATTGCAAATATCATGCAATGCAGACTTTTGTTTGTTTGTTTCTTCTTCATTTCTTAAAAAATGAGATAAAATAGACCCACCAGGAAGTGTTTGAATCCCAGTTTGTTGTGGGACCTACATTCTCTATTTATGGCTATGTACCTATGCAATAAAGGTGATATGCGACAAGGCCTCCCCCAATGGATAGCCAGGCCCTGACATTTTTCTGTTTTCTGCTTCTCTGTCATTTGGTTCTCCAATTCACCTCTGTCATTAGAGGTGATACGGAGTTGCCATTCTTAGCCATTCAGACAAATGGCACTTTCCCTGTTCACTTCAATGGGATGCTACATGAACTGTTGATAGATTCTGAAGCAAATGGATGAAATGAATGCCAAGGAAATGTTGTTGATGTTTTGCTTCTTCTTTCACTGCAGATATCCCAGTTATCAGTAGATGAACTAAACAACAGCATGTTTGTCTCACAAATGTAGAAGGATTCAGTGGAACGGTAAGTTCCTGTTAAGAGTTAGCCAAGGTGCCCCTGGATTTTATAACTACGAAATAAGAGCCAGCAAATCTCATTGCTGCAGACTAAGAGCTTAATTTGGGCCTGTTGGGATTCTTACCCAGTGCTGCATTCACAGTCCTGTTTTTTCATGTAGGGAGGGTTAGGGTTAGATCCTTTCCATATAAGTCTCATTTGGAATGGGCCAGTGTTTGATGGGAGGGGGGAGAGGCACATAACCAAACATGCCTTCAACTGTTTATAACAAAGTTGCACGTTTTGTGTCCATTTTTTGGCAGGGCATCTTAACGCTGTAATCAATCACGCAGCACTGGGGGCCTCAGTTTGGTTAGTGCTACAGCACTCTGTAGCATAGTAGGAAGGCCTAATGGTTAATCATGCCCTGTCTTTCTTAAGAATAAAACTCCAGTCAAGACATACATGGAAGCTCCTACTTCTACAGGGGTTCTTTGTACACAGCAGAGCTGTATGGAGCATAGATTGGGCTATGCAAGTTCTTCCTTCCTTCCTTCCTATTAAGGACAACAACATGAATCAAGGGCCCTGTGGGTTCCATGCTTTAAAAAAAAAAAGACAGTTCTGCACTGTTAAATGCAAACTGTGTACCAAACACCAGTTGAATTCTACAGTGTGTGCTTCGTTTCTCTTTATGTTTGACAATAATATTCTGTAAATATTAAACAATCATTCCGGTTTGTCATAGTGTGAAGGCAAGCAGCTCAGTGGAAATCTTGTTCAGACAACGTTCTGCAGACATTGCCACATAACTTTGAAGGATATCTTTGCAGTTATCAGAACTGGAAACTTGGTTTTTAAAATGAAGTCCTGGCAGAATTCAGCAGCTCAGAATCTTATTCACCAAGTCACTGGCTTCTGAGTTTTCAGCAAATATTTCCTGCATACTTTCAAGCTTATCCTTGTAGCCATAAGGACTACAAGCAGAGGTCCATCAGTGGCTATTAGCCACAAGGTATAGATAGGGACTCTGGGGCAAGTGGTGCTCTGTCTTCTTGGTGCTTGGGGGGGCCAACAGTGGGAGGGCTTCTAATGTCCTGGCCCCACTGGTGGACCTCCTGATGGCACCTGGTATTTCTGGCCACTGTCTGACACAGAGTGTTGGACTGGATGGGCCTTTGGCCTGATCCAACACTGGCGTTTCTTATGTTCTTAAGCTTGCTTTAAAAAAAATGAAAACTAAGATTTCCGAAAGGCTGAATCCTGCACCCAGTGCCATTTTCTGCAGTCGGGGGGAGGGGGGTCGTGGCGAAGGGGGCTTTTTAAAAGTTTCCTTTTTATCATGGTGTTCTGTCTCTCTCTCTCCCCGCTTCTTCCAGCAAAGCATTTTGAAATTCTAAACGGTGAAATCATGGAGTATCTGGACATCTCTCTCTCTCTTTCTGTTGGCGGGAAGCTGCCCGTGGGCTCTCTGTATGTATACGCCCTTCTTTCTTCCTCTACGACCCCCACACAGTTAAGCCTACTGCAGCCGACATGTTAACCAAAAACTTATCCATGGGAATGTCAAAATTTATGAAAAAGAAATTTTTTAAAAGCACTATAGAAACAATTAACAAACAGCGCTCTGTTATACAAGATATAGAAGTAGAGAACTTATGATAATAGACTTTTATAACACCCTCCTTTAACACACTTTAAAGGCATTTTTCTGACTACCATCAAGACAAAGTTCTCCTGCACAGTGGACTGTCAGTTTACTGTTCTATTGTCGATGGATAAATGTTTGTCTGTTTTTCAAAGTGTTATCTTACTGTTTTGTTTACATCCTAGCCTATTGATTTGTTTGGAGAAAAACAATGACATGTACATTGTTATCAAGTATACTCAACACCATTTTTTTTTCATTATCACAATGTCTTACATTTTCATATACTGTGGTTATCAGTTTTCTTTTTTCTGTTTTTTTAAAAAATGACAAGCTAAGAATGTTATAGTGGGAAACAGGAATTATGTGCTTTTTGCTAAAAAAAAAAAAAAGAAAGAAAAGAAAAAGCAAGACACCAGAATGTTCAGACATTTGCTGTAGTTTATAAAACAAAAAAATTGTAGTTCATTGAAACCTCAGTCTGAAAACTAGACTCAAAATGGAGTCCGTAAACATTTGTTGCAAGCTATAGGAAGGGGTACCTGCCAACCCAGGGAAGAATTGGAAAATGCCGCCGAGAGGGACAACAACTTGGCTGCTTTGCTGAAAGCCCTTCAGGCTAAGCAGATTTTCACTTGGATGGCAGGAAAGAATGTCTGCATTCAAGTGCCATTTTTGGCTGCAAAGGGCGCACAATGTTTTTAAATATTTTAAAAACCCTGGGTTGTTAGGAAAAAATGCAGGACCTGTTCATTGAAAAACTGTTGCTTTCTTGCCATTGGGAATGAAACCCCACAACCTAGCAGATGCAGAGCCAGGGGAAGAAAGCATCAATTTTCCATTAAAATGTAAATAACTGATCCCCCCACTTCCTGTGCTTAACCCAGGAAAGTAGCACCAAATGAACACTTCTGTTGTCCATTGTCCTGGCAAAATGTCTGTTTCATTGTTGGAGAGCAATCCTTTCACCACTTTCCTTAAGCTGCATTACAACAATAGGAAAGAACAGAATAGTTGAATTTAAACTTATCCAGATGTCTCTTCCAAAGATCTGCTGTTTCCAGTGTAAACTCAGAACCGTTTCTCAGCATCCTTGCAATGCAGCTTTATGGACGAAGTTCGGATTCTGATCTATATTAGTGACTCTTAGTACAGACACAAGGGGTGGTGGCAGTAGTGAATGGAGCAGAGAAAAAGTTTCACTCTTGTGTGTTTTTAATTTTGACCCTGGTGCATTTTGGTATCTTCAGACTGATGAAGAGCAACATGAGTAAGGAAAAAAAAACTGAAGGAGGAGGAGTTGGCCAGTTTATTAACTTAGCGGTTCGTAAGATCATGATAAAAGCAATAGAGGAATGTACCGAATGTCTTTTTTGGTGTAAGTAGGAACAAATGCACACTTAAAACTCAGTTCCTTTTATAACTGTGATGGAGCCACACTGAACGTATAGGGTGAAGGGAAGCAGGGTGCATTTCTTGGTGGCAGAGCAGTGGTTCCTAGATTTACTCATGCCTTGACAGTTGAGATATTGCTGTTTTGGGCTGGTAGTCAAACCATCAAAGGTCCTCCCAGGTGATGACCACAGTGTAGAAGATCAGGACAGTTCACAGCAAGTAAGTGAATTGGCACTGTGTTCCAGAACACAACAAAATTTCAGGAATTGTTGCCTTAATTAATTGCTGCTATATCCATTAATGCCACAGAGTACAGAGATGAGTCATAATGCAGAGACTCCTCTGACTGAACAGCCGCTCCCAAGGAGCAGTTTGCAGATATAGTAATGAATAGAAATCTGTTAAGATGGAAATAAATCTTCATTGGCCAAGAGAAGACGTTGGTGACCCAACAGTCAGTCCTGTAGTACCTGCCCTCTTTATTCTTGAAAACAGCACCCCTAACCGCATAATAGGTCTGGTTTATGTTGATTCCAGTAGCTTTCCCTAAGAACTCCAGCTCTGTTTCAGCTACAGCTGCATGACATAATGCAAAATATTTTAAAAAGGGCATCTGGAAGTCATTCTTGCCACTGGTTGGCTGATAACTTGATATGAAAGAACACCAGCAGATGTGGCAGGCAGATAACTAGCCAACCAGTCAACTGTGGCAGGCCCCAAGTCTAAGCTACATATAGAGGTAGTAGCATTTGAGAATTCCCAAGCACCCATCTCTTTGGTGTTATGTTGAATAAGGAATTGAGAGGCTCCCATTGAAGGCTTTCCACCAAAACATAGTATTGTTTGCACCATTTTGTGGTCTAGAAAAAGAAAGAAATTGAGCAGTGTCCCCAGATGACTCTAATGTGAACTGGAAAGCTCAGTCTTCAAGTCTTTCTCCACCAGAATAGATTGTTTATAATCTGAATTGGAGATGTCTCTTTCAGGTCCCACCTTGGGCTTGAATTCATTTCAGATCTGCTTCTTTCTTGCGGATTGGTGATACTGTCCTTGCCTTATGGATTTTTACTTCCCTTTAATAAGCATAAAAGAAGATGTTCCCCAGTAGGCATGTGGCTGGGTTCATGAAGAGGCTGTTTCAGAAGAGCATAGCTTCAATAGGTAGTTTAGATTCTGTTGCTGGAGTACTTTCCACTAGAGAAATAGATTTGCAGGACTAAATTAGAATTCACAAAATAGAACCATTTGACTTGTCTATAGGCAAACTCCAGAACTCTTGTGTATTTTTGCTGTGAAAGTCTATTTTTGCCCTTTTGGTGAACTTTGAAGCATGAAAATTCCTGCATTTCTTCATCCAGAAGCTGAGTTTCACTATTAGTTTGAACTCTGTGATATCTGGAAAATGTGTCACATGTTCTGAGCAGGGAAAAACATTTGTTTCAGTGCTACTTTCTGGGTTCCTGACAGGTCTAGCTCGGGAAGGAGGGGAAGATTATTTGCTTATTCTCAGAGAACTGCATTTTTGTCTAACATTCCCAGCAATTTTAATTCAGATTTATGTCTGCCTAGAAAGCAGCAAACCTACATCAACAGTGAAACTGGTTCATGGACTTTCTGTTTCCCAGTGTTGTAACATTGTTAGTGGAAAAAAGTGGATTTGAGTACTTTCTGGGTGAAAATATTTGTATATATATATAAAAAAAGGTTTTGCACAACCTGTGGCAGTGCCTGAACAGAGAACATACCTGATCTCCTCTAGTCAGAAAGGACACATATATACACTTGTGTTAGCTTTATGATTTTGACAGAAAGTTGACCTTAGTTTTCAGTGTTAGAAATTGATTTTTTGTATATCTTGTCACTTTGATGTAGCTCTCTCCCATTTCCATTGAATTATACTTTGGGGGAAGAGGGGGGGAGGGGGGATGACATCTTGCATAGAATGTAAGCCCACATTTATTTCCCCACAGTGTTCATGTCATGTTTTAAAGCACTGAAAAAAGAGAACAGATGAGAGGTCATGGGCGGGAGGGAGGACTTAAGACCCAACAAGATTTTCTAGAGCCCAGATAGGAGGAGACGCCTGCTTGATGACTTCTACAGCATCTCGAGGTATCAGTAGAAAGCCTAATTTATAAGGCATAGGTGGCTCCTGGGCAACTGGACCTTTGTACCCCTGGGACATCTGCATCACACCCAAACCTACACAGACAAAAGGTTCTTTTGAGGATTGGAGTCCCAGTGATGGGCGTTCAGGGTAGACTTCTTTTAGTGCCACAACGAGTTTTGGTTTGGTTTTGTTTTTTTCAATATTAACAAATTTAGCATTTGTAACAGAGTTTGAGGAAACGAAAAGGTTGAAGCACTGGGGACTTCACCAAATTCAGTACAATCGGGGCTGGTGGGGGGAAAAGTCTGCCATTTGAAGGTAGCACTATTTTAAGCTTGTTGTGCAATGACTTCTTTATTCAAGAAAGAAAGAAAAAAAGTCGTCAGACTATAAAATCCCGAATAGACATTGTTCTATTTACAAAGTCACTGAGTTACTCAGTGACTCTAAACAAAATGTCACAAAACACAGAGATGTCATCGTTTATTTGACTACAGAGATGTATGTAAAGTTTGTTCAAATCAGTATAATTTTAGCAACTTTTTAATAAGCTTCCCACATTTGAGAAAACTTATTTTTTTAATTTATCCAAAGTTCTCGTTTTCTCTCTCTCTCTCTTTCCTTTTTTGTGGTTGTATGTGTGTCCATTTCCTCTCAGCCTTATGCAAACAATATGCAAGAAATGCTGAAATTTGAGTAAAACGGGTCATTGCAGAGAGAAAACAAAAAAGCTGAGACAGGGGAAAAAAAGATCGTTAGTCATTTCATTAAAAGAAATACAGATATTAAAAATACTGTTACTAAACTTCTAACATATGTACAAATACAGTGAATGAGGGATTTAAAACAAAATGTATTCTTAAAATTACTCCGTTTTTAAGTATAGTGTTCTTGTATGGAACATGGTTTTTCATAATTTGCCATGTAACTTGTGTTTTTGTTTGTTTAGTAAGAAATTGTTAGGTTCCATTTTTTTACAGTGTCTTTTTTTTTTTTTTTGCAATATTATACAAATCAGTTTCCTTCCCTTACCCCAGCCAGTCTGCCGCATTCCATTCCTGAACACTCCCAAACACTCTAATCTGCCATGTACTGCATGCTGCACTTTTGAGTGTTCACCAGTGGATGGCCATGGCTGGCTGGTTCTGCCCTTTGCAAAGCAAGTACATCACACATTTGCCAATGTGGCTTCAGGATTCTCTGGTGTGTTCTTTCAGATGTGGGTTGTCTCTCACCAGTCACACTCGTGCCTGTGTACTTGCTTGAGCATCTTGTCCTGAGAACAAAATACACCAAGGCCAGGTTCCAAAGAGCTATTTTCAGTGCGGCTGAGGCCTTGAGCACTCCTAGTGGCATTTAAAAAAAAAAAAACCCTTTGTTTCCCCTGTTTAATGCCAGACTGTTATGCCACGTGACCAGCTCCTCAGAAACTAAAATGGGTGGTTAGGTGGCATGTGCGTAAGTAAAATAAATCCAAAGCCCCTTTGGGCATGGAGGATTAATGCTCAGTTCTTTTGAACTTAGCCACTTCTGGCTCCAAAAATGATCCATGAACTGCAGAACTTCGACTGGCACCACTCGTCTCACGGGTGCTTCAGGAAGCCAGTCATTTGTATAGTTCGTTCTGGCAGTGAAACGTGCATGTATACAGGCACAGGGTGAAAGAAAGTGGAGTTGATTCATGTCTGGGGGGTGGGGGGCACACACATACACCAGCATGAGAAGCGGGCCTTGGTGAGGTCGGGTTGACCTCAGCCAGCAGTGCTTCTTTGCAGCTCCCATTTGTTTGTAGTGGGACATCTAAGGGAAGCAGCGATTGGGGAATTATGCCCTCAGTCACTTTGTTGAGGCCAGGAAAATAAAACAGCCCTTTTTGTACACTTAGCTAGCTACATAAACAGAATAGCATACACTGAATGTTGTAGGTACATCAGATCTGGTAAAGAGATGTGCTCACCAATTCCTGTGTATTCTTCACATTTCCTACTGCTTAACATAATAGTTGTTGCTAGGACACAGTTGTACACAGAATGGGTTAGGAAACTGGAGCCCTTCTTTTTTTTAAATCCCTAATATATTTCTCACACCTGCACACATTTTTACAAAAAAAAAAAAAGCGAAATTTATGAGGAAAATCTAATTTTCCCCCTTCCTCCTGAATGGATGAGTGATGCTAATGATCTGATTTTTACCATGTGCCTGAGGAAGGCCTTAGAATATATTGTATGTTAAAGACTGTAATAACTTTTTTAAGAAAACTATTAGTTGATAGCCTAAAATAATTGTAAATAGAGTTTAAAAAAATTGCTACTAGGCTACAACAGGTTAATTCATGTTGCTTTATTTTCCATTTCTTTTATTGTTAGTTTTAAAGGATTTTTTTTCATTACTGCTTTTTTTATATATATTATATATAAATATATATATATATCTTTAGTAACTAATGAATTTAATTTTTGAAGGAGAGTTAGAGAATGTTTAAGATTTTTAAATACATGTATTCAGCTCATTTAGTTATCTTCTTAAACAACAACAGCAACACTGAAGCGCATGTTAAGGTATAGAAAACTACAGTCCATCATTAGTTTGTATAGTTCACAGTTCAAGAACAAACAAAACAAAACAAAAAAAAAGAATTAACTTTGTATGTAACTCCTACAATGATAGATTCATTGTTAACTAATTATATTAAGTTGTTGTTGCTGTGGCGACAAAACTACAACATGGCTACCTTTGTATACATTATTTGTGAAATTTTCACATGTAAATTTTAAAAAAAAGGTGATGTGTAACAGTATGGGCTTGTTAAAGGTACAGTTCGATACTGTCAGAGAAAGATATGACTGAATATTTTTAAAATCCCAAAGTCCCATGTGAAAGCTGGATTTGTGTCTTTTCTGTCACTTTTTCAGTCAAAAAGTTTACAACACATGGATTTAGAGTCAGGTTTTATAGCTTGTAGAAATTGTTGTGTGGATCGGGTTTTTCCACAGTATTTTTTCTCCTGGACATTACAAATGGTGGCTTTTGCCCGGGGGGGGGGTTGCCAAGGCACCTGAAAACTGGGAGGGGGTCTCATTTTCCATGACACCAACACCTAAAGCAAATGCAAGAAAACCAGTGCAGATTTTCAAAAGCGATTGGCACAGTGAGCAATTTCCAAAAAAGTTTAGAGAGAAAATAATTGTTAACGTCACCAATCCTGCAAACATCAGTCATGACAAGAATCCCAGGCTATTGCTTTTAATGGGACTCAGTTACGACTAACTTTGGCTGGGTTGCATGCATCTTTAGAATTTTGTACCTGAACATTTGAAAATGATGTTAAAAGAAACAAAGAAATCCTCCAGGTCTATCTTAAAAATTTTACTTGGCCCTTGAATTGAGCAAGGAGTCAAACCCATTGTGTTGAGCTTCCAAAATCAAAGGCTGCAGATATCATGATAAACCCTGGTTTGTTTAAACTGTGGATTGTGCAACAAGTTCTAGTTAGTCCCCAAGGCATAAGGAGGAAATCCCAGCTTGTTCAAAAATGCCGATTTGTCTGCTTCTGACTGCCCTTGCGCTTCCCAGCAGAGAGGATGCTCTGCCAATATTTCTGTCTCTGTGGCCAGCCAACCACAAGAGACAGTGCTACTCAGCAAACTGTGGCATTCAGATGTCACAATAAGCCACGATTAGTACAAACTGCGACTAGCTACAATCCCTAGTTTGAAATCCCAGTTTGGTGCGAACCAACAGACCATCTGCCTTTGGTTTTTATAACTAAATAGGGTTTATAAGAAATCATGGTTTATCAGGATGTCTGAATGCAGCCTGAGTTTTGCAAACAGTGGGCCTTAAGGGTAATTCATCCACTTTTGCATTCAGGAAAATGATCCAATTCTGCAGAGGTGCAAAAGCTTTTTTTTGTTTCAACATGGTAGAAAAACTGTGAGAAGGAAAATGTTAACAATTCTTTAACTCACAAGCCTTTATGTGAAAATCAGGAATGGAAACTAATTTTTTAAAAAATCTATACTATCAAAACAAAAGGAAAAAAATCTGTACATAAGAAAAAAGTATTGTGGAATGACCCTATAACAGTGTTGAAGATACCATTATGCTGCAGTTAAACTGATTCAGATAGTGTACGAATGTGTGAGACACATCTTTTTGCACTTATGTACATAGTTCATGAAAGAAATCCTTGGAACTTATTTTGAATATATAAAAAGTCTGTAATAATACAAGGAAAAGTTTGTAAAAGAGATAGGTATTACTAAGGCTTTGAAAAAAGGAAGAGATTTTTGCTATAAAACTTATCTGAACGCATGATGTTGCTTTGCTATTGTACAAGCTTTGTAGTTTGCCGTATAGCTTACAATACAGCGGACTGATACCGGGTCACGTTCAACCTGCAGCTCAGAAAAAAATGGGAAAATATTGCTTAATTAAGAAACTGAGGTCACCAGCAAAGGTTTCCAAAGCTTTGTCTCCAGGCTACATTGAACAGTACTTCCCCACCCATCCAATTCTTGTATTAGAAAGAAAGTCCACCTCCCTGCCTCTTGGCCATGTTAGGGTCTTCTCCGTCCCTTAAGCATTCATGGTTCTCTGCAGATAATCCATTTGGATTGAGCAGTAGGTGAATACACACACATCTGTGCCAATATCATAACTCTCCATATGGTTCTCAGATAGGTTCACTTGCACTGCTCTAGGGATTCCATGTTCTGGAAAGGAAGAGCAGAGATGAGGATGGAGGACCTGAATTTTGATGTCCTGAGATGGCAGTTGTCAAACGACAGGAAAAGTTTCAGTAGGTTACCAGGGGATCGAGAACCCTGAAGGGTAAATATAGACAATCATTTCCAAATTGGTAGCATAGCTGGGCATATACACTACCAGATATAAAGAGAGGGATGTCTGGAGTAGCCATCATTCCCTCTCTAGAACAGATGTGGATATGTGGTACTCTCCTCTCTATGTGAGAAAGTGCTTAAAAGGACCAGCTCTTCATTCAGTTGTACCATCAAATGATTGCTTGTATTCACGCTTCAGGTGAAGCAAGTCTGCCTGGCAGGGAGGCAGGAGGCTAAGTCCAGGGCCTCCCCATCACAAGCAGAGCTGTGGTGGTGGTAGTAAACTGAATGTGTAGGTGTGCTGTTCACAGAGTTGTGTCTTGTAGGGGCTACATGTTAATGAGGCCTTCCTTTCCTCCATGCAAAATGTCAGTCTCACTCTGTCAGGGAGGTGTGGGCTATTTACCAGGAGAGAATTAAGTCCCTCATTTGCTTCACTTTTTTGGGGGGGGCTGTTAAGTTGCAGTTGACTTACAGCAACCCTGTAGGGTTTTCAAGGCAAGAGACGTTCAGAGGTGGTTTGCCACTGCCTGCTTCCACATCGCCACGCTGGTATGCCTTGGTGGTCCCCCATCCAAATACCAGGGCTGATCCTGCTTAGCTTCCGGGATCTGGCTAGCCTGGGCTACCCAGGTCTGGGCTTGCCTCACTTAGCATGTCTTCATTTTGAGTGGTAAAATGCTGCTCTCTCTTCTGGTCGATGCAGTGGAAAAGACTCCCCTCCAAGGCCTGATGTAACTCTTTCCTACTTCTGCTCTACCAGCTGCAACCCATCGTCTTGTCAGAGAGAGTACATTCTCGGTTTTTGGATGGCTCACTGTGACCAACATAGAGGTCTCTGGTCCAAACCCCTTTCAACACAAGCACCTGATCAGAATCTAGGTAGGGCTCTCTATTAACTTAAACGTCAGAGGCAGCTTTATACTTTATACATACAGGGTAGTTTCTGTTCCTCGGGTGCTCCATGAGAGCATCAGATCCAGGCTGGCCCACCAAGGCTGCTGTGCTGGAACTGAAATTTTACTTAGATGGAGGTGGCTTTTATGCCAGCTTCACTCTGAAGATACCTCTAGGTGGCCAACAGCCACGTGTGTATCTCCAGATTGTGAACTGATTATCTTTCCCCTCATATGACCATCCCAAAGTAAGATGTGCACCTTAAGGATGCTTTCCATGCAGTGCGGAAATGTGCACAGAGAATGTATGAGTAACTAATGTTCTTCGAGCCTCTCTGGAGAAAGGGGAAATTTGTGCATTGCTCCATGTGTGGGAGATCTCAAAGGGAGAGGTGTGAGCAGTAGCAGTATTGGAACAAGGGGCTTCTCCCCAGGGAGAAGATGCACAGATTCACCTTTTGCATAAGACCCTGGAAAGCAGTATAGTTTGACACGTGACATTTAATGTGTAAAGCACTTTGGAGACAAAAGTCTGATCCGTGCTACACCAAGTGACACCTTAAAGGAGGCAATCTTGGAAAAACCCTTCTCTGAAGTAAACAGCTGAAAATCATAGCGTTGCCATTCAGAAAAGGTTGGTGGAAGACTGTTAAGCTGGGTTGTCCTGACAAGCTGTCCCCAAGCCTTTGCTCATGACCTTCACAGCCATAGATCTTACAATCAGAATGGCACAATGCCTCCTAGACAAGGCAGCCAAGTTGGTGGGGGGGGGGACACAACACAACAATTGAAGTGGTGAAAACTTGTGGTCTTTTCCAAACACACAACTGAGGGAAATTACCTGACACAGAATTACATGGTTCAGATCTTTATTACTGTACACAGATGCTATTTGATAGTGGTGGAAGCCAAATGATTTTGTTGCCATGGCGCTTGTATCCTAGCAGCTGAGGGAATGACATGACTGAGATGCCTCTGTCCAAATACACCTCCTTCTTTCAAACCCGAGCAGATACTCAGTAGGTAGCCTGAAAATCAGTTGCCTCCAAAGCCAGTTAAAATCCCAAATTCAGAGTGATGGGGATGAAACCAAGGCAATTTGTAGAAACTGCTTTCTTTTGTGTGCCTGCAACTGGATTTGGAGAACAGTCCCCCTGAAACTTGAGTTCTGCTACCAGAGTCCTCTGTCAACAGCAGAATTCCATGCAAAAAGAAAAGTCCACAAACCCAGGCCTGGTTTTGAATGCTTCGTTTAAATACATAAGAGAAATAAGGGATTTGGATTCCAAATTTAAATTTACTCTCTGTTTGGTGTGTTCAGCTGACTTTCCTTTGAATCTGGTTAAAGACTTTCTCAAATCCGGAACAGTATGCTCTTAAATTTTCAAAGAAGAAAATTCAAATTTATAGTTTGAAATACTCCTACTTGCTATTACTAGAGACTCTGTCAAGTGGGCAGTTTGAAACTCTTCCTCAGAGTTGCAAAGAAAACAAATAAATTATAAAGAAATTGTAACATTGACAGATTCCCTTCTCTATTGGTTTCTAGAAGAAA